GTGGGAGATGGGAGTGGGAAATGTAGGTGAAATTTTGTGTTTTGTGCTGTATTATTGAGTTTTCCCTATTTTTCCTTTTGTAATGAAAAATTTAATAAAAGATTTAAATAATAATAAATAATAAAAAATAAAAAGAATATTCATTTGATTTTCTAATCGTTAGTGGGGGTCAAATCGATGTTTGTTTTCGACCGCAGTGACGGTAAAATTATAAGGGGCAGGAAGGAAAACTTTTTTTGATCAAACAAATTTCGGCCAGTATATGTGGTTATCGTTCAAGTAATTTTAAACTCTAAATGTTAAAAGCAAAAGACAGTTTTCGAATGACATTCGTTGATTCACGGAATGTTCAAAGAATTTTCGCACGACTTTTCGTACGAATATTCACATCCGAAAATCTACAGGTGTATGGCCAGTTTAAGTGTAATTTCTGTCTGCTGCCTAGTTCCTCTGCTATCTGCATGAGTCACTTCTGATTTTTCCTGACAGCAAGAGAAAAATTATGATGGGGGGAGCTTCAGCACACAGCCTGTGATTGACAGCCTCAGCTCTGTTCCTGTGAGCTGTGTGAAAGGGGGGGGGGGGGGGGGGAGTGTCTCTTCCCTCCAGTCAGCTCTCAGATCTCTTCACACTGAGCTTTGCAGTTTGTAACTTCAGCTCCTCACCCCCTGCTTTCTGAAAGTTCAGACAAGCTGTATAAGTTCTTGATTTTAAACAGACGTAGAGGACAGAAGGCTACAGATAAACAGATACAACTTATATAGGAGGATTGTTAAGCTTTCATGAGCAGGTCCCTCTGATTCCTACTGTATTAAATTGTATTTTATTTGTTTTATCTGCCCTATGTTGTAAAACACTGCATACATTGTTGGCTCTATATGCATACTGTATAATAATCTCACCTGAGGCTAATCACTTCACTGGGTATATGTGAAGATTTAGAACCACTTTAACAACCATTAGAAACCCATCAAAGAAAAATAGGGTTCTTGCATATTACATAAAATGTGTTCCAATATGAAACATAAATACCTTCTACAGTACCTGTGTGTATACTGCCCTAAATGAAAAGCGGAACTTCACTGCATCTGAACGCCACAAACCATAAATTAATTCATTGTTACTATTCAAAGCAAACTCCCCCATCCATCCATCCATCCATCCATCCATGTCTCCATGCTTTATATTGCTGAGAAAGCACTTTGAAAAAACACCTCCTAGCATTTTTGGCTGAGGCCATCTTGAGTAAGGGCAGATGATAAATGTAGCATTTACTTCCTGGAATCCATCTTTCCGCAGCCCAGGCATGCATGCAGGAGAGTGTGCGTAGCTGAGAAAGCCCATCCTCCCCTCTTGAAGACTCCTGGGATGTATGATATTGTTTGTCTAGGCCAGCATCCAGGACGTACCTGAAGAAACCTGAAGAAATGTAAAAAAAAAAATTTACTAGTAAATATAATGTACTTTCCTATCTATTTACGAATGCTTGCAGCATAAGGAATACAAATAGTGTGCGGGTGAAGTTTCGCTTTAAAGTGGAATTACACTGCATCTGAGCACCACAAAATGAACATGCCTTTTAATTCATTTTTATTATTCAAAGTAAACTTCCCCATCCATCCATGTTTCCTTTCTTTATCTTGCTGAGAAATCTCTTTGAAAAACACCCCCTAGCATTTCTGGCTGTGGCCATCTTGAGTAAGGGCAGATGACATGTAGCATTTACTTCCTGGAATCCACCTACCCTTAGCTCAGGCATGCAGAGGGGAGCAGGGGCGGACTGGCAACTAATGGGGCCCCCGGGCAATTGGAAATCATGGGGCCTCTGTGTCCTTGCCAACACTCAAACCACACACCAAAAAAAGCCTATGAAAGGTATCAGGGGCATCTCATGGGGCCCCCTACTGACCATGGGCCCTCGGGCAGTGCCCGAGTTTCCAAATGGTCAGTCTGCCCCTGCTCCCCCTCCAGTGGTCACTAGAGTACTGGGCTGGAGAGGGAGGGTGCAGCTGGCTTTAGTGTGTCAGAGCCAGCTGTCAATCAGACAGCAGGGTGGATCCTGACAATAAGGTCAGGATCCTTCCAGAGCTCGGAGTGTCTCTGTGACATCTACTGATGGCAGACATTCTAGTTGATTTTTAGCCCGCTATAAACTGACTCTCGATTCTTGAATGCTTGAGTGCTTGAATGGTCAGTCTGCCCCTGGAGGGGAGGCTGTGCGTCGCTAAGAACCCCCCGCCCCCACCTACTCCCCACTTCCCTTCTTGAAGACTTCTGGGATGTATGATATCATTTACCTAGGAAATCAGGAAGTAACTAAAAAAATGTAAAAGAAAAAAAATTAAAACGAGTAAATATAATATACTTTCTTATCTATTTACTAATGCTAGCTGTACAAGGATTAAAAATAGTCAATGTTGACAGAGAGTGAAGCCCCTAAGTTCCACAAGGCTCACCCCCATCTAGCCACAGCAGCGGTCAGCCTCTCGTAGAGTTTTACAGGCTGCTGGCAGCAGGGCCAGACAGGACACTTGCACTTACCCACGTTTGTCACTTTTTCTTTGCCTTATGTGTGTGTTTTTTCACGGATGGAGGGTGTGGGTCCTCGGGCCTACCCTGAAGTCTAGGGGGAGGATGTGTGGCCATACGGTTCCTTCCTCCCCTGATCCCTAGGAGGCTCTTCTTCGGGAGAGCCTCCTTGCCTAGTACTGGATGTCCGGCTTCGGCTGGGCATAGGGAACGGTGGTCCACCAGGCCTTTTGGCCAGGAGGACCAATTGGGAACCTTGTCCCCGTCAGGAGCTTCGTGCCCCGGGGGATCAGGGTAAGCGGTCCAAGCCCCTTTAGGGGTAGGACACAGCACACCCCTAAGTGCACTTTTTCGTGTGGTGTTTTGCACTTGCACTTTTTTTGTGAACACTTACGGGTTTTTTTTCGTTATAGTTGCACGTTTGCGGACTTAAAAAAAAAAAAAAAAAAAAAACTTGTGCTCTCGCCCGCATATAGAAACATAACAAATTGCTATTTAGAAAAATGGAATTTTAGTGGCTCAGGTATGTAGGTTGGCATTTGCTTTTATTTTGAGACTTTACAAATCAACATTAGATACATGTATGTGAGATTGTGAATTATTCTTACATTTCAACACGTTAATGTAATTCTGAAAATTTTTAAATCTGCAGATTTTCTTAAAATCATACTTGTTGATCCTGCCATGAATCCATGAATGTCCTTGTTCAGGGACTTCCTGTTATAGAGTGACCTCGCTCTGCCTGTCTCCCAGTTGTGCTCCTGTGTTGTCACCCTGTCACATGTGTTTCCAACAATAACTGCAACTGGCCACTTCAGCACACATTATGCAGGCATGGTGCACTGTTGTCACCATCAAGAAACTCAAACTGAGAAATGTCATGCATCCATGCATGTAGACATAAAGGGGGAGATTTACTAAAACTAGAGCACTCAGAATTTGGTTCAGCTATGCATGGGAGCAAATCAGCTTCTAACTTCAGCTGGTTCAGTTAAGCTTTGACAATAAAACCTGGAAGCTGATTGGTTTCTTTGCAGAGCTGCACCAGATTTTGCACTCTTCAGTTTTAGTAAATAACCCCCAAAGTGGCTGCCTATAGACTGCAGTAGATCAACAGCACTGTAGCTGCAGTTTATATTGCTGTGACAGCTACTTACAGGTACTGTAAGGTTAGTTTGTTACCTTGAGCAGCATTTAGGTGACATTTGTTTAATTATGCAATTCAGGTTAAATAGCAATATATACAGTATTTTTCACTCCATAAAACACAGCTGACCATAAGATGCACCTAGGTATTCGAGGAGGAAAACAAGAAAATAAATATTCTGAACCAATGGACTGCAGACATAGTACAGGAGATGACCAGAGACTGCAAACATAGTACAGGAGATGACCAGAGACTGCGGATGTACTACAGGAGATGACAAGAGACTGCGGACACAGTACAGGAAATGATCAGAGACTGCGGACACAGTACAGGAGATGATCAGAGACTGCGGGACACAGTCAGGAGATGAGACTGCGGACACAGTACAGGAAATGACCAGAGACTGTGGACACAGCACAGGAAATGACCAGAGACTGCGGACACAGCACAGGAGATGGCCGGAGACTGCGGACACAGTACAGGAGATGGCCGGAGACTGCGGACACAGTACAGGAGATGGCCGGAGACTGCGGACACGGTACAGGAGATGACCAGAGACTGACACAGCGGAGACACTGCGGACAGGAGATGACCAGAGACTGCGGACACGGTACAGGAGATGACCAGAGACTGCGGACACAGTACAGGAGATGACCAGAGACTGCGGACACAGTACAGGAGATGACCAGAGACTGCGGACACAGTACAGGAGATGACCAGAGACTGCGGACACGGTACAGGAGATGACCAGAGACTGCGGACATAGTACAGGAGATGGCCAGAGACTGCAGGCCTTTGGGGAGCAGAAGGGGGGGAGAGCCGGTTCCCGAATTTGATACTTCCGTGGAGTTGTCCTCTCTCCCTGTCTTCTGGGACATGTGACAGGTCCCAAAAGACTGCCAGACCATTCACAAAGCGCAGTGTTTCTTGCACATGCGCAGTGGGCACCTGGCTGTGAAGCTGTCACAGCCGAGTGCCCACACTAAAAATTCCGGCACCAGGGAGAGAAGACGGTGAGGACACCGCTGGACCGAGGAACAGGTAGGACCAAGGAGCAGGTCTGCTTATAGAAGAGCCGAGCGGCCGTCCCGGTATTCAAACACGGCAGAGGCAGGAATACTGGGCTGGCCACTTCATATTTGCTCCAGAAGACGCACAGACATTTCCCGCCATTTTTTTTTGGGGGGGGGGGGGGGAATGTGCATCTTATGGAGCAAAAAATATGGGTATTTTTGGCTATTGGCCCACCATAGAATTCCCATTCTACTGTGCAAACCTGAAAAATCTGCCTATATTAAATGTATTTATGAATTTATTGTTACAGAGAAAAGGAAGTCAAAGGTATTTGAGCAGTCTTCTCCACCAGTGCCCAATGAGCTGAGTGAGTCCTCTACAAGCAGCGTGCAGATAGGAGAAGAAATTCAGTCCCTCGCAGTCAGGCTCGGTGATCTGGAGAAGGTGAGATACTGTATTAGATGAATATTCCTATGCTACCTCCATGGTGTAGGCATGTGCAATGTGAAGCATTCTCTATTGCACTGAGGATTAGGCCGCATTCACACTGGACATTAACGCTGCTGTTAAAAATGGGGGCATGTGGCATTTTTTTTGTTTGTTTCTGCCTCCAAACGCCCCTGCATACATAGGAGTTTAGAGGCTGAAAATAAAAACCTCACAGCCAGTACACCCAGGAGCAGTGACGTTTTGGCAGAAAAAAACGCTTGATGTGTCTAAATGCACGTTAAAACTAGGCGCATTTGGCGTATAAACGCTAATTCATTTCAGTGGGTAGAATAAATTATTATTCTGCCAATTAAATGAATTATTTCCCAAGCACTTGATGCCTAAATGCGCCTAAACACGGTACACGCGTTTACAAGTGTCAAGAGTTTTTCCTGCCAAAACCCTGCAGCCAGGAGGAAAGGCGTCTATGAGAGATAGCAAAATGTACAGTGTGAATGATGGGTACACACTGGAAGCTTTTTTTTTTTTTTTTGTGGTTCAACCAAGTGGGCTTAACTGAAGTCCCCAGTGTTGCCTGTAATCTGGGAGCATAGGAGAACGCCAACTTGTCAGAGTTAGGAAGAAGATAAGTATTCCTCTACTTTATGCCCTTCACTTACTGTATTGCAGTTTATGGGGTACCTGGAGATTGACACTGTGGTTTTGTTATATTTGACAGCTCCATTTGCCACGACGCCCTAAAGAAGAGCAGAGGTCCTCAATTACTAACAGAATTTTAATTCGCAAACATCCTGATAAAGAGGAGAGCAGGAAAAAGACAGTTGTTGGTGGCTCGACCTGCACCACAAGATTCTTCTTCCAGAGGACACGCAACTTCAGGTATGTCAGTATAACTGTTCATACATGTGTTTGTTAAAGGGTCACCCCAAAAATGAGTCAGGCAAATGTTTTTTTATGTGGCTTGGATGCTCCTCCAGTAAGATCCCTCGCTATAATTTATTATTATACAGGATTTATATAGCGCCAACAGTTTGCTCAGCGCTTTACAATATACTGGGAGACAATACAGTTCAATACAAGAGGGATAGGAGGGCCCTGCTCCTTGGAGCTTACAATCTAGGAGGGAGGGGCTAGTTGTACAAAAGGTGAAAACTGTGGGGGATGGATTGGTAGGAAGAGTAGAAGATTCCATTATTAGCTGAGGGCAGGATAGGCTTCACTGAAGAGAGGTTTTCAGAGATCACCTAAAAATGAGCAGAGTAGGCAATAGTCTGATCAATTGGGGTGGAGAGTTCCAGAAGATGGGAAAATCTTTGGATAAGTCCTGCAGATGAGTATGGGAGGAGGAGACAAGGGAGCTAGAGAGCAGAAGGTCATGCGAGGTGCGGAGAGGACGGTTTGGGTGGTATTTGGAGACAAGATCGGTGATGTAATTTGGGGCAGAGTTATAAATGGCTTTATATGTTATTGTTAATGTTTTGAATTTTATCCGTTGGGCAATGGGAAGCCAGTGGAGGGATTGGCAGAGAGGGGTGGAGGACACTGAGTGGAGGCCAGTGGAGGGATTGGCAGAGAGGGCTGGAGGACACTGAGTGGAGGCCAGTGGAGGGATTGGCAGAGAGGGGTGGAGGCCAGTGGAGGGATTGGCAGAGAGGGGTGGAGGGATTGGCAGAGAGGGGTGGAGGACACTGAGTGGAGGCCAGTGGAGGGATTGGCAGAGAGGGATGGCAGATATGGAACGGTTAGTAAGGTGGATGAGTCTGGAAGCAGCATTCATGATAGACTGAAGAGGGGATAGCCTGCGATGAGGTCAGCCAATGAGGAGGGAGTTACAATAGTCAAGGCGAGATATAACCAGGGATTGAATAAGTTGCTTAGTGGTTTCTGAGGTTAGGAACGGGCATATCTTGGAGATGTACGGAGTCTACAAGATTTGGACAGCGATTGGATTTGGGGCTGAAAGTACAGATGGGAGTCTAGGATTACACCTAGCACCCTGGCTATAATTCCTGACTCCTTTCCTGTCCACCTGGGAGTTTTTAGTGTTGCTGCCCATGCTTGTGTGTCCTAGCTCCTCCTGTTATGTTCTTCATAGTATAAAATAAATGTTAAAAATCCAGCAGGGTTGGTGTTTGCCAGTCATAATGGGCACAGAAGGTGTTCAAACCTGCTGCAGATATCTCACCAATAGAGAGATTTTAAGTGGAACTTCACTTCCTTAATAAATATTGGCTATTTTCAATCCCTATGCTGTTAGCATTCGTAAAAAGATAGGAAAGTACACTGCTCAAAAAAATTAAAGGAACAATTTTTAATCAGTGTATAGCATCAAGTCAGTGAAACTCCTGGGATATTGATCTGGTCAGTTAAGTAGCAGAGGGGGTTGTTAATTAGTTTCAGTTGCTTTGGTGTTAATTAAATTAATAACAGGTGCACTAGATGGGCAACCATGAGACGACCCCCAAAAACAGGAATGATATTACAGGTGGAGGCCACTGACATTTTTTTCCTACTCATCTTTTCTGACTGTTTTTCACTAGTTTTGCATTTGGCTAGGGTCGGTGTCACTACAGGTAGCATGAGGTGATACCTGGACCCTACAGAGGATGCACAGGCAGTGCAACTCCTCAAGGATGGCATATCAATACGTGCCATTGCCAGAAGGTTTTCTGTGTCTCCCAGCACAGTCTCAAGAGCATGAAGGAGATTCCAGGAGACAGGCAGTTACTCTAGGAGAGCTGGACAGGGCTGTAGAAGGGCCTTAACCCATCAGCAGGACTGGTATCTGCTCCTTTGTGCAAGGAGGAACAGGATGAGCACTGCCAGAGCCCTACAAAATTATTATTTTTATACAGGATTTATAAAGCCCAACAGTTTGCGCAGCTCTTTACAAATTGAAGGTAGATATTACAATCACAATACAATTTGGTACAAGAGGAAACAGAGGGCCCTGCTCGTTACAGCTTACAATCTAGGCGATAACCTCCAGCAGGCCACTGGTGTGAATGTCTCTGACCAAACTATCAGAAACAGACTTTAAGAGTGGCCTGAGGTCATCTAGTGGGCTCTGTGCTCACTGCCTGGCACCAAAGAGCTCGATCAGCATTTACCATTGTACACCAGAATTGTCAGGTCCACCACTGGCACCCTGTGCTTTTCACAGATGAGAGCAGGTTCACCCTGAGCACATGTGAAAGGGTCGGGAGAAGCCATGGAGAACATTATGCTGCCTGTAACATCGTTCAGCATGACCGTTTTGGTGGTGGGTCAGTGATGGTCTGGGGAGGCATATCCATGGAGGGACACACAGACCTCTACAGGCTAGACAATGACACCCTGACTGCCATTAGGTATCAGGATGAAATCCTTGGACCCATTGTCAGACCCTACGCTGGTGCAGTGAATCCTGGGTTCCTCCTGGGGCATGACAATGCCCGGCCTCATGTGGGGAGAGTATGCAGGCAGTTCCTGGAGGATGAAGGTATTGATACCATTGAATGGCCCCCATGCTTGTCTGACCTAAATCCAATAGAACACCTCTGGGATATTATGTTTTGGTCCATCCAACGCCGCCAGGTTGCACCTCAGACTGTCGAGCTCAGTGATGCCCTGGTCCAGATCTGGGAGGAAATACCCCAGGACACCATCCGGCATCTCATTAGGAGCATGCCCCTATGTCAGGCACGCATACAAGCATGTGGGGACCATACAAACTACTGAGGACCATTTTGAGTTGCTGCAATTACATTTCAGCAAAATGGACTAGCCTGCTGCATAATTTTTTCACTTTGTTCGGGTGTCTGTGAATTCAGTCCTCTGTAGTTTAGTCATTTTCATTTCCATCAAATGATGGGGCATCCTTACGTTCCTAACACATTACCCCATCCATGTCAGTATAGAGATCCAGCAGGGGATTTTTCCCCATTGAGATCTGATTTGTTTTCAAAGTGTTCCTTTAATTTTTTCTTGAGCAGTGTATAACATATTTGCTTGTTTTAAACTATCTTTTTTACAATTTTTCAGTTACTTCCTGCATTCCAGGCCTTGACACATGATGGATTCTATCCCAGAAGTCTTCAGGAGCGGAGGAGGGGTTTTCATAGCTAAGCACACCTTCCTGCCTACATGTCTGAGCTAAGGGGAGATGGATTCCAGGAAGTAAATTCAACATGAATCATCTGCCCTTACGCAACATGGCCACAGCTAGAAATGCTAGATGGTGTTTTTCAAAGTGATATCTCAGCAAAATCAAGCATAGAGGCATGGATGAATGGACGAGTATGCTTTTAATATTAAAAATGAATTAAATAGCATTTTGGTTTATGATGCTGAGATGCAGTGTAGTTATACTTTAAGAAGCTGGTAGGAGGTTTAAAGGTGAGTTCCAGGTCTGGCGTTTTTTACGTAGTTACATTTGTCCAGCTTGTGGGATCCCTCCGGAAGCTGAAAATCAATGTAGTAGACACTGCTACTCTATTAGCTTCCCAGTCCCGTGCTGAGAGACTGTCCTGTTGCATTGTGTACACAGGAGGTTGACTGCTCAGCACAGCTGCCATTTAAAAAATACTTTGCATTTTTTCAATGAATGCTAAGTGTTCTCTGATTGGACGAGGTAGAGAGATGGGGCAGTTACGTCACACTCTCAACCTCGTCCAATGCTTTGCATCCATGGGAAGATACAAAGCATTCTGTGAGTGGTGCCCATGCCGTGCAGCCAACCTCCTGTATTTACAAAGCAGCAGGGAAGCCGCTTGGCACAGGACCCGGAAGCTAGTGGAGTTCACTGTGGTAGCAGGGTCTACTTTAGTGATTTCCAGCTTAACAGGGATCCCACAGGTATGGCACATACATCCTTACATTGCTCCAAGCTGGACCAATGTAACTGGAAAAATAAGCCATACTGAAATTCTGCTGTTAATCAGTTGAAATCAGTTTTGGGTTGAACAACCCTTTAAGTGCTATATGTTATCTAAAGTGCATCTCTAACGCCGGTTGTGTTTTAGAAGCCGAGTTACCCCTTAGTGGCACACATGGTCGACTTCAGCCACATAACATCCTGGGGAGTTTGCAGGAGCTGAGAAAAGAAGCCACAGCAAGAGGGAACTTGCAGGCAAGTCTGTTTTTCTCAAAATTTTGCATTGCAGCAGACTGCATATTTCTCCTTTTTTCCTTTCTGGAGAAATTCTTGTTTGTCTTAAAATATTGATTTCACAACTTATTCCTGACGTAACTGCAGTATTTATAAAACTGGTAAATAATGATGGAACTTCTAGGACTGTCTCAATACAGGGCAGTTAAAGTGTGCCAGAAGCCAAAGCAGTTTTTGTTTCTTGTTTTTCCTAGTTAACCACTTCCAGTCCGGACACTTTCACCCCCTTCCTGTCCAGGGCAATTTTCAGCTTTCAGCGCTATCACACTTTGAATGACAATTGTGCGGTCATGCAACACTGTACCCATATGAATTTTTTACCATTTTTTTGAGACAGATAAAGCTTTATTTTGGTGGTATTTATTCGCTGATGGGATTTTTATTTTTTTTGCTATGTAAATGAAAAAGTCCAAAAATTTTGAAAAAAGTGTTTTTCTTATAAAATTTTGCAAATAAATAATATTTCATCATAAATCTTGGCCTAAATTTATTCCGTTATCTTTTTAGTAAAAAAAAAATACGCCAAATTAGTTTATAACCAAAAATTATAATTTTTTTTTTTACATTTTATTTTATTTTTTTATAATAGTATTTATTTTTTTTTTTTTTTACATACTGTCACCCTAGCAGTACAGTGTTACCATGGTGACACTGTACTACTTGTGGGGGGTGATGAAGATTTTTTTTTTTTTTTTTTTACAATGATTGATTTTGCACCCATATAGGATGTAAAAGTAATCATTTCTATTTCTCTCTGTCTGCATTCTTGCAGCCATTGAGAAATACTGAGTGAGCTGTGATTGGTCACAGCTTGTCACATGGTACAAGGCTGTTGTGAATAGACTTGTACCATGTGACCTCTGTGATCATTCACAGATTTCACACGTAGTAAGCAATGATGTCACAAGTGACATCTTGCTTACTACTTTGCATGTGATCACTGATTGGCCAATCAGTGATCACATGATCGGGACCTCGTACAGAGGTCCCGTCCGATGATCGGTGTTTCACTGTGTCCGGAGGACACAGCGGGCACCGGATCGCGGTGCTGCGCACTTCCAGGGAGCGCGCACAGATAGAAATAGCGGGTGCTGTTTATGAATGGCAACCCGCCCCTGGACTGCCACTGTCCTGCCGTTTATAAACAGCAGGCGGACGGCAAGTGGTTAATGGAGATTGAAATTAATAAAGTAGAACTAAACTTGTTCTATCTTCCTGTCTGCCGAGGTCGGTGCCATCTTAGCCTCTATTTAGATCTTCAGTTGCCATGGTTTTGCACATATGACCGGCTAAGACAGCAGTCATTTGTGGGCTTGAAAGTTCAGGTGAGAGCAGAGATAAGAACATTGCCAGCCGTGACTGTTATTACCAGAGGCATGGAATATAATCTAAACTGCACATGCTCCAGTAGGCCGAATGTAAATGAAAATGCTGTAGAAAGCATTGGAATGTTTGATTTAAGGCCTAAGTTTAGACAAAATTTTAAAAAACATATAAAGTCAGCACAAGGGAAACAACTTACTCCTAGCCTGATGTGTCCCTTGTGCTGCTGGCTCATGGATTCCTTGCAATCTTCATCCTCTGATGCCCCCCCACCACTGCTGTAATCTTCCAGTGCAACAGGGATTAATAGAACAGACAACACAGACAGGCACTCATCAAGACCCCTGAAATGTGTTGGCTATTTTTTGAATTGTACCTCTGACCAATAATGTAATAAAGTTGTATCTGGACCTCTTAGCAGTAATGTGGTGCTTCAATTTCAACTCTGAATGGAAGGGTGTAGACCATTTAATCATCTGCCCGTCCTTCATTCATAGATTACATTTCATTCTTAGAAGCTATGCTTCTATGAATGGAGTAGCTAGGTGGAAAGGGCAGCCATAGTTGGGCATGATGGGTGCCTGTCAGAACTCCCTCTGGTTTACGGAAGCATCAGAGAATGAAGTTTTAAAGGAATCCGTGAGCCAGCACCCCAAGGGGCTCACTGGATTATTAGAGTTGTATGACTCTTGTGTAAAAACATTTATGAATAGACCTCTAAGAGTACTCCAGGCACAGCTGCCTTTGTTTTTGGCATTCTTCAAAGTGGACCATACTTTGTCCATCAAAGTTAGATAGCTCGCCCCTCATCTTGGCTACTTATACTCACCTTTAGTTCATTCCCACACCTCCATGTTCACCCACTAATGTGAAGGCAAAATAAAAATTACTTTAGGTATGTGTTTCTACCCCTATTCTCCTACAAAAAAGCACTCCAGTGGCCAACCCCTAGACCCATTGGAGACTGTCTTAGCCCTGTATAAGCTCTGCCCAGAACCATTTAGAATTTGGGCATGATTTACTTTGCCATGGCCAAGAGGGAACTTTTGTTATAAGTAGTATGGGGGGCTGTGTAATTAATTGAATTTATTGACCAAAATAGGAAAATCACAAATGTACTTTAAAGAAAAAGTTCACGTTTAATAAATTTTGTCCTTTACTTAATTCCCCAACCCCTAAGTGCAGCCTGTCATATTAAAATCTTACCTTTCTATGCATTTCTGTTAGTGAGCCGTATTCCAACCGCCCAGTAGAATATGACTCACCCATAGGAATGAATAGGGCCATAGTGGACATGTATAGTAAGATGAGGAGTCGTCAGCAGGGATGCTTTTGATAGAAAGGCTGTGCAACACCCGCTGCACAGTAAAGATCACTGGTATAGAAGGGAAAGTAAATACTTATCATGGCAGATTGCTTTCAAGCTGGAGGAGTAGAGCATAGGACAGGTTCACTAAAAGTGAATGTGTCCTTTAAGAATGTGCATACTCTGTCAGTCTTATTCAATATGTCTTTTGTAAACAACAGAGATGATGTGGAAAGTGAAATATAAGCCATAGCAATCAGGTTTCAGTTTGCTATGGTCCTACAGCCCTTTGGGGCCTATGATCTGTCCCAAAAGGTTGTGGGGAAACCGCCATGGCAATCTGACCAGAAGTAGGAGTGGGTACCTATCAAAACCAGGTACCCATTCTCTCCCCCCCCCCCCCCCCAAACAATAGAATTAGCTACTTAAGAATTATGTTATGTTGACGGATGAAGATGTAACCTTACACTATATGGCCAAAGTCTGTGGACTTATGACCATCACACCTATATGTTCTTGTTGGACATCCCATTTCGAAATCATGGACATTAATACGGCATTATCCTACTCTTGTGGCTGTAGCAGCCTCCATTATATTGAGAAGACTTTCCACAAGATTTTGATTTGTGTCTGTGGGAATTTGTACCCATTCAGCCAAAACCACATTTGAAAGGTCATGTACTGATTTTGGATGAGAAGACTTGGCTCATAATCGACATTCATCCCAAAGATGTTCAGTACGGTTGAGGTCAGGACTCTCTGGGCCACTTGAGTTCCTGTACACCAAACTCATCAAACCATGTCTTTATGAATTAGGCTTGGTGCACATGGGCACAGTAATGCTGGAACAGGTAGGACCTTCTCCAAACCACAAAGTTGTTAGTGCAAAATTGTCTAATATGTCTTTGTATTTTGCAGTAGTAACATCACCCTTCCCTGCAAATATCTAAACTCAAAAAAATGGAGTGTTGTCCACATGTTTTTGTCCATATAGTGTATATCCAAGCCTTTGGGTATGTCCATGTTCCCCTTTCAAATGGACTAGAATGTCTGTTATAAGTGTTGCTATTCATTTATGAACTGTAAGTCATCTGGTACTTTGTGTTTAGGTTGCTAAGCTTGTCCCAGAACAGCCAGATTTCCTGAACTTGGGAATCCATGATGAGACTGGAAGACTCCAACAGAAGGAGAATATTTACCATCACTACAATCAAGACAATGCTCTATTCAACTGGCAGTATCACATGGACCTGAGGAAGAGGCAGCTCGACTCACTATCTCGTTAGTTATTGTAATTAATTCATTGAGCATTCGGCATGACTATGTGTATTAATAGAATTGGATATAAAATAAAAAATATAAATACAAAATTAACTAAATAGCGTTTCTGCATCATCAACTTATCAGATCCCGTGTGTGTGTGTGTGTGTGTGTGTGTGTGTGTGTGTGTGTGTGTGTGTAAAGTGAAGCTGATTATACAGCCATGCTGAGATAGATGACTAGAGAGTGAAACTGGCTATACATAGATCAAAATTCAGCCAATTCAGAAGAGATTGGATGAATTTCAATTTATGTATGGGCAGAGGGGTTGTACAGAAGTGGATCTACTGATGAACTTTTGCACAACCACCCTCCTAGGATTTATAGCCGACAGCACTGATCAGTGCATTCTGATGGATGTAAATCCCCCATCAACCTAGAATGTGTGAATGGGGTAATCGAGCCATTTTGTTTTGTTCAACCCACTGGTTGAACGAAAAATAATGATTCCTCTATGAGGCCTTTAATGAAGTGGTGGTTTACTGCATAGTCAACCCCCTCACACTTTGCCTCTGTTTAACTTCCATTGGCTCACCTGTCTTCCCAGTGCCTGGTACTGCATCGTGGGAGCAGGGGAAGAGAGATGTATTCTTCCTCTTAGCTGGAAATACGCAATATCATTGGTTCAACAAAGGAAACGGAGGAGGAGCAAAGGTAAGGTAAATATACGCAGTGGAAGAAAGCAGGAAATACAGTAAATCTGTTGTTTAGCAGGTCATAGACAGGCTTACTTTAAAATAGGGGTACATTTTAGGGCAAACACTGTCTGACAGTATCTACATGATGGGGGCAATATTGTTGTATATGGTTGCTGTATATAACATTTTATTAAAACAAAACTCTATGGATTTTTTTTATTCCAGCCCTCACCACCCCTTGTCCAAAACCAATACTCCCAAATCCAGCACTGCCTTCCAGTCCACTATTGCCTACACAAACAGTCTTCCGGCTGAATGATGGCCAGCATCTATCAACACACTTCCTGTGAGCCCAGGCTGTCAATGACCTACCCCTTGGGGGTGCACCATTACATAGCCTGGATTCACAATGGAAGGTTGCATAAGCTAGTGCTCACACTGTAATGCTATGTAGCAAAAGACCACCCACGGCAGATGAGGCTCCATGCACATTGGTCCAAAAAAAAATGGCAGTTCCCTTTGCAGGAAAAAATGCTCATATAGAGCATTTTTGTACAGGAGCTTAGGAGAGTTTAGGAGCATTCAGATATTTTTTTTTCCTGGCTCTAAGCACTGTCCTGATGTGCATGGACACATAGGATAACATTAGCAGTTCTACAGGCAAAATGCTAAACTCCTCCAGAAGCAGTGTTTTTTTAAGCCACTGTGCATGGACCCTAAACGGGACTCTGGAATTGACACGTGTATTTTTTTTTTTAAATGGGGTGGGGGAATGGAGATGTGCTTAAATGATATACTTCTTTCTCTTATGGGCTCCCTTACATGTTCATGCAGGTCGCCTGGGTAAGCCTAGTGAGCAGCTTGTGATGAGCATTTGCAATGATTACCGCAGAATCCAGGAGGAAAGAAATGCAATAGACTGCTGTATCCCAAGACTTGAGAGTGGCAAGGTGGGTTGAACTATATAACTGTATACAAATGGTGAATTTGATTGGACCAAAACGTTAAACATTCATTTCTTACAGGGTTATCGTGTTGGAAGTGAGTTCTGGAATGTGCCTGAATGGATTGGCGATGAGCTGAGCGAGCTTGACAATAACACTCACACAATGTGAACGTGGTTACCCATCGCCTATCACTCACATAGGCAAACCCTCTAGCATCAAGCAGGAAACAGGTATTGTGCAAATGCCACCCTAAGGGGGCTTCACGGGGAGATTTTGGAAGTGTGCTGCATGATTGACAGCTTGATTAGGCCTATTACTTGGCCTTTTTCATTCAGTTACATTTTCCGGTCCTCCAGCTGTTCATATCGGGAAGACGACATGTGCTGTCATTGACATACAGTACACAGAGTAGTTCCGGAGCACCCTGCAAGGGAAGTGTATTGAAAATCACATGCAGAAAAACTGCAATTTATTCAAGGTCTAAAATACATGTAGATTGGCTTGTCGCTTGCAAATTGCCTGATCTAGTGCTCAAAAGAAGTATTACTTATATTTAACATTTTCTTAGCAGGTCCAAAGTAGTAGTAGAATACTGTACAGTGTTAGCCATTGATTATTGTAGAAGGTTTGGAGTTTAACCACTTCAAGTTCGGACACTTTTACCCCCTTCCAGTCCAGGCCAATTTTTAGCTTTCAGTGCTATCACACTTTGAATGACAATTGCGCGGTCATGCAACACTGTACCCATATGAATTTTTTAGCATTTTTTTGAGACAAATAAAGCTTTATTTTGGTGGTATTTATTCATCACCGGGATTTTTTTTTATATATAAATGAAAAAGTCCAAAAATTAAAAAAAAAAGTGTTTTTCTTATAAAATTTTGCAAATAAATAATATTTCATCATAAATCTTGGCCAAAATTTATTCCGTTATCTTTTTAGTAAAAAAAAAAAAAACCAAATTAGTTTATAACCAAAAATTATAATTTTTAAACATTTTTGTTTTTTACATTTTTTATTTTATTTTTTTAGATTATTATTTGGTTTTTTTTTTTGTTTTTTGTTACATACTGTCACCCTAGTAGTACAGTGTCACCATGATGACACTGTACTACTTGTGGGGGGTCAGGAAGATTTTTTTTTTTTTTTTAACACTGATTGCTTTTACACCCATAAATGCTGTAAAAGCAATCATTTCTCCTTCTCTCTGGCTGCATTCTTGCAGCCATTGAGAACTACTGTGTGAGCTGTGATTGGTCACAGTTTGCCACATGGTACAAGACTGTTGTGAATAGCCTTGTACCATGTGACCTCATTCACAGAATTCACACGTAGTAAGCAATGACGTCAGAAGTGACATCTTGCTTACTACTCTGCATGTGATCACTGATTGGCCAATCAGTGACCACATGATCGGGACCTCACATAGAGGTCCCGTACGATGATCCGTGTTCCACTGTGTCCGGAGGACACAGTGGGCACCGGATCACAGTGCCAGGGAGCGCACACAAGCAGGGAGCGGGGAGGCCGTTTATAAACGACCATCCGACCCTGCACTGCTCCCGTCCAGCCTTTTATATACAACAGCCGGACGGGAGGTGGTTAAGTGATACCTTTAGACCTCATGCACACTGGGCACTTTTGTGGGTGGAAGGCACAGGTGCACCATCCAGCCCCGCTGATGGCGACCTGTAAATGTCTGAGAGGTTGAAAGCTGCTCCTGGACTACATACTTCCTGAATTTCAGGGCATTCATCCTTCGGTGCATACTGTCCTAAATGTCAGTACCACCCAGTGCACCATCCAACCGCTGCAGCTTTCAGCCTCTCATAGACTGGAAATGACTAAGACTGGAGCATCCAGAATCCAGAACAGCTGTGCATGACAACCAACCAGCTTTTATCTTTCATTTTCAAAGCTTAAACCGAAATTAATTAACTGAAAATTGAAGCTAATTTTGCCTGATTTTTGCCAAAAGCCTACGTTTTTGTTCAAACCATGGTACAGAGACGTTGTTTTCTTCTGCACGCATTCTGCAAGGGCACAAAAAAACACAATTGTTCTCTGTGTCCCGTTCACACTACAACACTGTATTGTGTGGATTTTTTCTGTGCAGGAATGTGCAAAATGTATAAAACTAACAGAAGCGTGCATGAAAACGGATGTCTCTGCAAGTGAAATCTGCGCATCAGTTTCCGTCAGATTTTCTGCATGTATGGTGTGAATGATGCCTTAAACAGCTATTGAAGAACATGTGACCAAAAATAACCTAAAACAATAGCCTCTCAACATTTGCCACAGCTTTCAGGGCTCATGTACACTGCAGCTGATAAACTCACGTTTAGGAGCTGTTCAGGGTTTTTTTTTCAGCAGCCCCTGAACTCTCCCTAATGTTTTCCTATGTGTCCATGTACACATCTTCAGTTTACAGTCGGTTTTTTTTTAACGCAACAAACGTTACGTTCAGACATCAATTTTATCAGCGTTTCAAATGCTAAACGCTTGTAAATGTGGCTAAACGCGGCAAATTGCATTTATAAGCGTTTGCGTTTGAAATTTTTTTAAACTCTTCCAGTTCCAATTGCTGTCCCGAGCCTTTGTTCTTCATGAAAAATGCATGCAAAGAGTTTTCAAGGTGCTCAGATGGAGAGAAAACACTGAACACAGGATGTTCCTACCAAGCTTGTCACACATTGTAATAACCAATTCACACCTCAGACCTCTCCCACCCTTGGAAACAAAAGATATGTTAATGATCATTCACACCTCAAATTCCTCATGAAGACCCCCTGCTAGGTGACCTTAATGACTCCCTCCACCAGACACCTTTCCCACCCTTGGAAACAAAAGAAATGTTAATGTCCATTCACACATCAAATTCCTCATGAAGACCCCCCTGCCAGGTGACCTTAATGACTCCCTCCACCAGACACCTTTCCCACCCTTGGATACAAAAGATATGTTAATGAGCAACTCACACCTAATTATCTCAACACATACTGCTGTCTCTGCTTCTACTGTGTGTATTTCTCAGAAACAGTCTGAAATAGTTAATAATTTACCACTTTTCAGTGCATTCTGGGCATTTGGGAGCTTCTCCTGTGCTTATCTTTATAAAAACGATTCTAAACGTAAATGCGAATAAACGCGTTATGCAAACGTGGCTAAACAGACGTTTTTTGACCTACGTTTTCCAGCAGTCAGTTTTCACCGTTCAGAAACGTCCCGTGTACATGGGGCCTTAGGTTGTGCAAAAAATAACTAAAACTAGAGAGTGAATGCTGGTAACTTTTTACAGAACGAATATACAAGCAGTTTCACTAGACAAATAGCTATGCCCAATTTTTATAGACGCCTTAGTCATGTGGTATAAAGCAGAAAAGGTAGACAGCCCTGCTGATGTTTCATTGAGAATAATCTGTGACTGACCTTACTGTGACTGACCTACCGAACTTCATTCACACAGGCAGCCAGGGGCTGATAGATTGCTGTGAGCGGTGATGGCTAAATGCCACTGTCTGCAGCTGTACTCTGTGCTACGGTAGTGTCCAAGTAGCTGCGGCCGGTTTGTGTACAGTGCACAGGAATGCTGCCCTTCAATGCACACTGTCTGTGTCCAGGGTCAGTATTCTCATGTAACCATTAGGGCTCATGTACACTGCAGCTGATAAACTCACGTTTAGGAGCTGTTCAGCATTTTTTTCAGCACTTGAACTCTCCCTAATGTTTTCCTATGTGTCCATGTACACATCGTCGTTTACAGTCGTTTTTTTGAACGCAGAAAACTTGCGTTCAGCAGTAGATTTTAAACGCCAAACTCTTCTAAACGTGGCTAATTGCGTTTATAGGCGTTTGCGGTTGAAATTTTTTTTTTAACTCTTCCATTTCCAGATGCTGTCCAGAGCCTTTTTTTCATCATGAAAAATGCATGCAAAGCGTTTTCCCAGTACTCAAATGGACCTTAGTACACCGTACTTTGAGGTTTTGCATGATAGAAAATATGTTACACACTGCTGCAATAATTTCTGCACAGAAATGAGATGGAACACATCCAAACACCACAAAAAAATAAAAAAGACAGCTAATCTCAACACATACTGCTTTCTCTGCTCTCTCTATTTCTCTCAAAATGTCTGAAATAGTTAATTTTTTTACTGTTTTTCAGTGCATTGTGGGCATTTTGGAAGGTCTCCTGAGGTTATCTTTAAAAAACGCTTCTAAATGCAAACACTCATAAACGCGGTATGCAAATGCAGCTAAACAGACATTTTTTAACCTACGTCTTCCATCGTTCAGAAGTGTCCCGTGTACATGGGGCCTTAGGATGAGCAGTTACATATGTCTTGGAAATTCGCTTTGAACGAATTTTTCCTTACCGTGAGTACTCGCAGTTGGATGCGCAGAAATCCCCCACAAAGCTGTGCGAATCTTGCTTACTACTACTGCAGCTTAGCTCCACGATTCCTGCGCCTCCAACTGGTTTAGCTCTGTTGAGATGTGGGGAAATGGAGCTCCTGTTACCCAGGAATGATCAGGCGACACTCTCAGGTTGCTGTTGAAATTCACATAGAGACCGCCTCCAATCCCAGCCTCCGGTTTTATTACAAGCACATACACGCCCACACACGCCCCCACACACGAGGGTCAGGTCAATCCCCTCCCATAGAACAATGCATAGGGATGTCCATACATGAGAATGAACATCCTGTTTGGAGTGTAGTATTTCCTCATATCTATACTGGAAGCCAGTTGAACCAGTCCTCCCCTCCCCCATGAGCTCTCGGTGGAGAGCAAACTTCCCATCCTATCAGCACCTACTAGTATGTCCATTCCCTGTACAAGCATCCCTTAGATTAAACAGTGTCAGTCTGTATCTGAATGGGCCCGATACGATCTTTATTAAAACACATCCATCCAGACACAGTTCAGGTCGGTAGTGGTTTGTAAGATATACATCAGCCTTTACGCAGAGTTCGCACTGCCTGGCGCTTGGCCATACGAAGTCCATGTGGTACTATGCTGCTGATATGTGGATACAGGCCCGCGGCCTACCACCGGCGGCATTCGCATCGAATGCCGTGCTGGTATACACGCCGGTCTATAAGCGCAGATCTGCCATCTCATCCATTACCGAGCTGAGTACTGTAATACATACATTGTAAATGCGCATGGCCTAATTGCAGCCTTCAGAGCTTTAATTAAGCCACACGAGAGACATATGAATAACACCTATATATGACACATTTAAAGTTCAACCTGTAAATACAAAATTTCCATGACACATATGAACAGTAACAGCCTTGGCCATTGATTTATACACAGTACAAATCTGATAGTCGTGTTCACATGCACTGGGGGGGATTTATTAAAACTAGAGAACTCAGAATCTAGTGCAGCTGTACATGGTAGCCAATCAGCTTCTAACTTCAGTTTGTTCAGTTAAGCTTTGGCAACAAAACCTGGAAGCTGATTGGTTTTTATGCAGAGCTGCACCAGATTTTGCACTCTCCAGTTTAAGTAAATCTCTCTCACTGATTCTTGCCAGCAGGCAACCCTATCTGCTGCTGCCCACTCATCTGAATGTAGCCTGAAAATATTAAGTGCTATGGTAAGGATGGACAGTTATACAAGGTTAGTCCCAAATCCAGGATCACAATCCAGCATTTCAGCCATTTGTCAGACATGGGTATTTATTTCAGGTACTTATTTAGCACCGTCAATTTACGCAGCACTTTATATATATATTGTACATTCACATCAGTCCCTAACCCTCAAGGGGTGTACAATCTAAGGTCCCTAACTTACATTCATACACATACATACTAGGGCCAATTTTAGACCGGATCCAATTAACCTACCAACATGTCTTTTGAAGTGTGGAAGGAAACCGGAGTACCCAGAGGAAACCCGCACAGGGAGAACATGCAAACTCCAGGCAGGAGGTGCCATGGCTGGGATTTGAACCAACGACCCTAGTACTGCCAGGCTTAAGTGCTAACCATTTAGCCACTGTGCTGCCCATGTTCATGTTGATGTGAGCTCCTGTGTTTTACATAGCCTCAATGAGTCCTTGTAGAAGAAAAATGATGGTGCTCCTTAAATGCTGTGAGCGCTTTTTGGTCTTAGTCCATGCCTGGTTAATTTGCTGGACTCCAGGAAACCATGGTTTGGTGGTGGTGTTGGGAGTGAGTGGTTGTCCTATAGCTTACTACTGTCCTATAGTCTCTCATTTAAAGGGACAGTCCCTCTTTTGGAACGATATTCCTCTGTCCCACTTTTCTCAACAGTTGTCTTTTTGGTCTGATGCATAGATCGCTATAAAAAATGTATTATTTAAAAGAGAAGTATGGCCAAAGCTTTTTTGGCCATACTTTTCTATTGTGCACTTACTTTTGCTCTCCCTTGACCCAGATTTAGCCGACAGCAGGCTGAAGCCCGCTGCCAACTGATGTCACAGAGCCACTCCAGGCTCTGGAAGGATTCCAACTCTATTGTTGGTACTCAGCTGGATGCCTGATCACAGCTGGCTTAGCCCCTCTGAGAGTCGGAGGGGAAGAACAGAGAGTGGTGACTGATAGTTACCACTCTCAGCACTGAGTGGACTGAGAACTGAGTGATCAGCAGTCATGTGATCACTCAACTCTTGGGCTTAGACCCGGAGGGGGACAGCCGCAGCATGGAGATAAGTGTGTATTTATTTATTTTTATTCCTATACTTCTTCTTTAACTACCAAAAGCATCATGATATGCTGTGTTGTACAGTACTATATACTTCAGGCTTGTTAATTGGGCTCCTGTATTTTCTCACATCTCACTATTGTCTCTCCAGGTTTCGCAGAGCGTCCTCCATATCATAACACGTGGGATAAGAGTTTGTATTTGCAGCATCGTCGACATGAGCTGAAAGCCATTATGGAGGAACTCAATTTCACAAAGCCGGTAGAAAAACAATTGAGTACTGTCCGTGATACTTTTTTTATTTGCACTAACATACAATTTTCAGGACAAGCTTTCGGGGTATGTCACCTTCTTCAAGGTCCAAGAAGTACTACTTCACAAAGTTTTAGCAGAATGTTAAAAGAAACAATCACGGGCAAAAATAGACAAAAACACACACAAACAAATGTACACCGCAGTCGTTATAAATAAGACAGAGAGCAAAAGCAAAGACATTGGAGGGGGGGGAGTTGTAGATCCACAAAGCCGGTAAGAAGAGAGACAGAAAGTGGGGATGTCGGCAACACTGGAGCAATTAGGCTCCCCACACACGTTACAGTCTAATTGTAAAATCTTCTCAAGATCTACCAATTATGTAGTGAAAGGGGCTGCCTGACTGGATAGATTGTTTGGGCAGATCATACATCGCCTAGTTTTGGTAAATTCAATTGTACAGAGATTGTTTGATCAGATTGTATTCTGTGTGGTGACCCTTACCCAGTGCAGCTTGTTTCCTTGCTGCGCTAAAAGGTAAAGTAGCGTTTTTATAAAAAAATTTGCATGGCTGCTCTTCCATCAAAACTGCATGTGAATTCATTATCTGCGAATGGGGCAAATTTGAATCTTCCCAGTTTATATTCTCTGCAGATGGAGAATGTGTGAATGAGGAATATACCACTTTATAGCCATTAGATGGCGTTCACTATCATAGGAAAGAAGTATGCTCCTCAGCTCCATCTAGTGGGCATAATACAGTATGTTCTGCATTCACACATTCAAGCTGCAGAGAATATAGCCTGAGAACATCTGATTTTGCCCCATTCACAAAGAACACATTTATATTTAGTTTCAATGGATGCGCAGCTATGATTATTTCTAAATACACCCCAAAGTGTGTGTGACTGCTGTGAGCAATTGCTTCTCTAGTTATTCCAACCAGTGAGGATGATGTACAGTGGGGCATAAAAGTATTTAGTCAGCCACCAATTGTGCAAGTTCTCCCACTTAAAAAGATGAGAGAGGCCTGTAATTGGCATCATAGGTAGACCTCAACTATGAGAGACAAAATGAGAAAAAAAAAATCTGGACAATCACATTGGCTGATTTGGAAAGAATTTATTTGCAAATTATGGTGGAAAATAAGTATTTGGTCACCTACAAACAAGCAAGATTTCTGGCTCTCACAGACCTGTACCTTCTTCTTTAAGAGGCTCCTCTGTCTGCACTCATTACCTGTATCAATGGCACCTGTTTGAACTTGTTATCAGTATAAAAGACACCTGTCCACAACCTCAAACAGTCACACTCCAAACTCCACTATGGTGAAGACCAAAGAGCTGTCGAAGGACACCAGAAACAAAATTGTAGACCTGCACCAGGCTGGGAAGACTGAATCTACAATAGGCAAGCAGCTTGGTGTGAACAAATCAACTGTGGGAGCAATAATTAGAAAATGGAAGACATACAAGACCACTGATAATCTCCCTCGATCTGGGGCTCCACGCAAGATCTCACCCCGTAGGGTCAAAATGATCACAAGAACGGTGAGCAAAAATCCCAGACCACACGGGGGGACCTAGTGAATGACCTGCAGAGAGCTGGGACCAACGTAACAAAGGCTACCATCAGTAACACACTACGCCGCCAGGGACTCAGATCCTGCAGTGCCAGACGTGTCCCCCTGCTTAAGCCAGTACATGTCCGGGCCCGTCTGAAGTTTGCTAGAGAGCATTTGGATGATCCAGAAGAGGATTGGGAGAATGTCATATGGTCAGAAGAAACCAAAATAGAACTGTTTGGTAGAAACACAACTCGTCGTGTTTGGAGGAGAGAGAATGCTGAGTTGAATCCAAAGAACACCATACCTACTGTGAAGCATGGGGGTGGCAACATCATGCTTTGGGGCTGTTTCTCCGCAAAAGGGACCAGGACGACTGATCCATGTACAGGACAGAATGAACGGGGCCATGTATCGTGAGATTTTGAGTGCAAACCTTCCATCAGCAAGGGCATTGAAGATTAAACGTGGCTGGGTCTTCCAACATGACAATGATCCCAAAAATACCGCACAGGCAACGAAAGAGTGGCTTCATAAGAAGCATTTCAAGGTCCTGGAGTGGCCTAGCCAGTCTCCAGATCTCAACCCCATAGAAAACCTTTGGAGGGAGTTGAAAGTCTGTGTTGCCCAGCGACAGCCCCAAAACATCACTGCTCTAGAGATCTGCATGGAGGATGGCCAACATACCAGCAACAGTGTGTGCCAACCTTGTGAAGACTTACAGGAAACGTCTGACCTCTGTCATTGCCAACAAAGGATATATAACAAAGTATTGAGATGAACTTTTGATATTGACCAAACACTTATTTTCCACCATAATTTGCAAATAAATTCTTTCCAAACACAACTCGTCATGTTTGGAGGAGAGAGAATGCTGAGATGCATCCAAAGAACACCATACCTACTGTGAAGCATGGGGGTGGCAACATCATGCTTTGGGGCTGTTTCTCCGCAAAAGGGACCAGGACGACTGATCCATGTACAGGACAGAATGAATAAGGCCATGTATCGTGAGATTTTGAGTGCAAACCTCCTTCCATCAGCAAGGGCATTGAAGATGAAACGTGGCTGGGTCTTCCAACATGACAATGATCCCAAACATAACGCCCGGGCAATGAAGGAGTGCCTTCGTAAGAAGCATTTCAAGGTCCTGGAGTGGCCTAGCCAGTCTCCAGATCTCAACCCCATACAAAACCTTTGGAGGGAGTTGAAAGTCTGTGTTGCCCAGCGACAGCCCCAAAACATCACTGCTCTAGAGGAGATCTGCATGGAGGATGGGCCAACATACCAGCAACAGTGTGTGCCAACCTTGTGAAGACTTACAGGAAACGTTTGACCTCTGTCATTGCCAACAAAGGATATATAACAAAGTATTGAGATGAACTTTTGATATTGACCAAATACTTATTTTCCACCATAATTTGCAAATAAATTCTTTCCAAATCAGCCAATGTGATTGTCTGGATTTTTTTTCTCATTTTGTCTCTCATAGTTGAGGTCTACCTATGATGCCAATTACAGGCCTCTCTCATCTTTTTAAGCGGGAGAACTTGCACAATTGGTGGCTGACTCAATACTTTTTTGCCCCACTGTATGTCATTTGTCGTAAAGGGATATATTTCCATTGGGCCATGCACCATTTCACATCTTTGATTTATTTTAAACCTGGACTATAAAAATTACAGTCAGAATGATTGGATCCTATGGGCAACAAGAAATGTTCTTTTTAGCAAGCTTTTCCAGTATTGGCCCTAATGTGTTGTACAGAGCAACTAGCCAGATTACATCTGTTGTTCCTCTCTGTGATTGGTCGGTAAGTGCAACACTTCCACATTCCCTTCCCCTTATCACCTATATCTTAGTTTCTCCCCAGTGGGGAGTAGAGTGAGATTGTATCCAACCCTAACCATTTTCCTTTTAACCACTTCCTGTCGGGACACTTTTACCCCCTTCCTATTATTTATGGTTTTTGTTTTTTTTTTTACATACTGTCACCCTAGCAGTATAGTATCACCATGGTGACACTGTACTACTTGTGGGGGGTGATGATTTTTTTTTTTTTTTTTACACTGATTGCTTTTACACCCATATAGGATGTAAAAGCAATCATTTTCTCTTTCTCTCTGTCTGCATTCTTGCAGCCATTGAGAATTACTGAGTGAACTGTGATTGGTCACAGCTTGTCACATGGTACAAGGCTGTTGTGAATCTTCATCACCCCCCACAAGTAGTACAGTGTCACCAGGGGCGGACTTGGTTATAGGGGACCTCTGATGTGAAGAAGAATTAATTTATTTGAAGGCAGTTGTGTTCATTGTCCCAGGCTCAGGTATCCCATTGATAAGCAGCATTTACATTTTACACTGGGGTGTTTCAGGATTCTGCATACTTTTAAAGGGTAACACAACTGAAAAAAGGTTGAGAAACGCTGCTTTAGACAAAAAGAAGCATTTAAACCTTGCATTGCAAGGGGAGCCCGCTGCAAGAGTAGTGTTGATTTTTCTCCGGAGTTCAGCCTTAACTCACTCTCATTTGAACCAATCTTTCACATTATTGTGAATCATAACTCAAAACATTTTACCAAGAACTTCATTTCAAACAGGAGGATTTGGAACACATTATTCTTTCTACCTTTTAAAAGTGTGTTCATTTTCTAAGTGAGCGTAATTCCCAAGTGACACCCACTCCAGCTACACAAGAACCTTTTAGCTGACAAGCTCGGCACTTTCAAAGAGTTGAAAGGTGAGATTGCTACCCATTTTCATCCAGAGCACATTACTTGTTACATTCTGCATCACAGCCTTGTAAGAGGCACATTGTAATGTATGAATCACGAGCAGAAACAAAGCCTAACCGGAGAAATTTAGCTAGCGCTCTATTAGCCTCAGTGCTGCTTCATTATATGCTGCATTGACAGAACTGCATGTTTAGAAGTCTACCAAGAGTGTTAGAAAATTGCAGATCATTTAGTCGTAGTTTTCTTTAGGTTTCTTAGAGGAGATTAACTGAAATGAAGCCTAAAAGTATATATTAGTAGGTGGTGGATTGTTTTCTGAATGATGGCACAATTCCGAGAAATAGTAAAGGGCAAAGTAAATAGCGTTTTTTTGGCATTGATGTATACAGCATTATATTACTCCTTTTTTTTTTTAAGTTTTAAGTACATCTAAGACTTCAAAGAGTAATTTACATCAAGAGCCAAGCATTTACAGGATTATACCAGTGTCTGTGGGTTGTACATGGAAAGAAAAACACAGATGCAGAAAAGCAGATATCCTGTCAGGGATCGCGGCTACAAATGGCTCCGCGCATGCGCAGAGCGCCAATCCATTCTAGCCGGCAATCACCAGGACCTGGACGACGGCAGCCGTGCATGTGCACTCGCGATTGCGGCCGCTCGCCTGGCACCAATGGCAGGGCAGGGCGCACTATTTAAACCTGCCCT